TATTGGTTCAATTCCCACAGAAAGTGAAAATTGAATTTTAAGAAAAACAGATTCAGTAACTATTGTTGTGGTCAGAAAAACTTGAGACCCTATAACTGCGGTTGTATTAATTTATTGGAACTGGAAGATCTCGAAGCATTTGTGTGATATATAAGTTATACAAATAGATCTTTGGATCATAGAATGCCACAGAGCCGATATGGCAGTAGGGCACTCGCTTGGCAAGTTCCAAATAGAAAAGTAGCACAGATCTTTGATTGTACTATGTAAAGGATCATCATCAGAAAAACTGGCAAAACTGAACAGAACCAAAGTTTTTGGCAAAGCACTCCACCAACCAGACCACCAGAAGAGTAACCGGAGAAAAAGAATCTAACTGTGGGACTAGAAGCAGGTCACAGCCCTTCTGGGCCATCTGAATTGGTAGTTTGGAGTAGTCAAGAATATTGTAAATGGTCTGTAATGTATGTACCAGAGTTTGGATGAACTTTATAAGAGCAGAAATAGGTTGTGTAGCAGTGATCAGGCTATAGTTAGTTAAAATAGTACGAAAAAACTGGCAAGAACAAAATAGCCAGAGAATACTTCCACTATGGAAACTGGGTACAAGTGGCAGGTCTCAGCCTGTACATATCAACTGAAGCCTAGATCAGCCAAATTGTAGATACAGAAGACTCTAGCAGATTTACTCTAAGAATAAAAATTGTTCTAAGGTAGTTACTAAAGAGTATTATATCAAGGTTATATATATAGAAATATATGTACGATGAATATAGATCATCTAGTTGTAAAAGTAATCCAAACAATAATAAAGTACTTGACTGAAAAGGTTATCTTAACACCAAAAAAAAAATATATATATATATAGTTATTATTAAATTAATCAATTGTATCAGTATGTAAAAATCCTATATAATTTAAAAGTTTTAACAATTATGATAAAAAATAAAAAATTTTATTTAAAATTTAATATTGTTAGATAAAATATTATTTAATATCAAAAGGTACATTCAAATTATTAATAAATATTTCACAAATTTTTTATTTTGCTTTAGTATCTATCACAGAATGTGTTTGAGTAAGTAAATAATCATCTATATCTACTTCTAAATCATAATATAAATTAGCACTTGTGTCTTTTTGTGCTTCTTCTTCTTAATCTAGTAACTTTTTCCATTCATCAACATAATTATCAAAATTTGCAATATATTTATTTATATTTATTTCATTCTTCAATTCTTCTAATTCTTTATTTTGTACTTGCCCTTTATTTGGTGCTTGTTCTTCATTTGGTGCTAGTGCTTGTTCTTTATTTGGTGCTAGTACTTGCTTTTTATTTGGTGCTGGTGCTTGTCCTTCATTTAGTACTGGTGCTTGTTTTTTATTCAGTACTTGTTCTTTATTATCAGAAGAGATTTCATTTTCAGACTCTTTATCAAAGTTACTAAAACTTGTTTTATCTAATCAATATTGATAAGTAATTGAGACCTGAAGTTTGCTCATATTTAATACTTTTTGAAACTATATTATAGATTTATAAATTAGTTTAAAATTTATCTAACAAATATATAATTACAATATATTTATATATAATCAGCTTTGACAGTACATATAAAAAAACTCATACATGACTATAACCATTCTACTGAAGCTGCATTTACACAGATTTCAAATATTTTTTGTACTACAAAAGCAAGTTCTTTCACAGCTGGCACAACCCAAGACCAAAATTTAAAAGATTTTTTTTTAAATTGATCGATTAATTTGTTGTCAAAAGGAAATATGCTTGTTTGAAAACTTTCATACTCATGTAAAATTGATCGAGCCTTATTATATAACCAAGTTTCATAATAATATGTAAGCTGTTTACTAAGATATATGTAATTAAGGTTAGTTACATTAGATCTAAATTTTGTTATTTGATATTCTGAATAGAGAAGCCAAGACAAAAAAAGAAGAATTTGCTTCTATTCTTTTCATCTTAATTCTAATTGATTTAATATTCGCTATCCAAGTTCAAAATCTTCATAATTTTTCCAAAATTCTACAAAATAACTAAACCCATATAGAACTTCATATAAATGGGCTGTATCTTTTTGGAAATTATTATTGATAATGCCATAAGGAGTCAAAATATTAACAAGTTTTTGTAATATATATTACCAACTTTTATCTAAAAAAATTGATACTAGATTTTCTAGAAGATATAATAAATTATTATCTAATAGTTCAAACAGATTAAATTTAGAAGCAAGCGTCTAATATAATAAAATAAAATAAGTATTTAATTTATTAAAATAAAATCAAAAGTACAATTTTTCATACCCTTAATGCGATTTTGATTTTAGCAATAAGCAAAAACATTTCAGATAACTGTTCTAACGTGTATCATTACCAATTGCCAGAGATATGTAGTTTTTATAAAATTCTTTTTGTAAATTTCTCAACTGATCAATAAAATACTTATGTTGTGCAAAACGAAAATAAGCTGCTACTTTAATAGCATTAATTGCTATTTGATAAAATTTACTTGATTCTTTAAAAACTTATTTTACAAATAAATTTATTTGGTAGGCATAACAAGATAAAAAGGTAATATTAACATACTTTAATTGAAGGTGACGTCTATATTTATTAAAAGGTTAATTTTTAAAAAAATTTAATATACATTTAATATATATTTAATTTTATTATATAACTTGCTGCGGTATAGGAAGATGCACTATCGCAAACAATTGCAATAAGCTTTATTTTTATTTGACTAATCTCAGTAAATATCTATTCAGTTTTTTCTATAACTTCCTTCCATCTTTCTCTTTCACCACTAATATCAACTCCTTTCCAAACCAATACCTCTTCTTCAGATATAATAAAAACTTCTTTCATAATATTTTGGTTAATAATATTGGTCCAACTATCAAAAGCAAGTGTCAGCCCAACTGATTTATTTTTAAGCTTTAATTCTATGTTAGTTTCAAGCTTTTCTATTTTATTGTTTAAAATTCTTCCATCTAATACTCAATGTTCAGATAATTTTAAAGTAAAATTTAAAAATTGAAATAATTCTTGAACTTCTTTGTTTTGCACCTACTGCAATAATATTTTTGCAGAAATAGTTGCGTATAATAAGAGAGTTTCAAATTTTTTTTATCACTTTTGATAAAGAACAAATAACATATTTGTCAAGTGATCTTTTATTTATAAAAAAAACTTATAGATTATTATAAAATTATTATTATAAAAATATAAATTAAATTACATTTATCTGTACGAGATCTTTTGATAACAGCAACTATATTTAACTCTTTATTCTCCTGTTCTAAATCAATACCTAATAACTTGAACACTGTTTCTTTATTACCTTGCTTATTAATAAAATATATGCATTTTTTAGATAATTCTTTACTCAGTCACTTTTATTTAGAAATTTTTGAAGCATGGCAGTTACTTTATCAACAACATCACAGCAAGTACAGCAAACTGCATAATTTCACTATTTATTAGCTTTTTCTTTAAGAATTTTAATATAACAACTAAATTTATGTCTTGACATTGTTTTTTAAGAATGATAATTACAAAAATTTTAATATAAAATTAGCAATTAAGTATTTATTTGATATTATTACATCATT